TCCATGGTAATGTTTGTGGGGCATTTAGCTTTAAACAATATCCATTCTCTTGATTTCAATATCACCACATACAATTTATGTGGCCAGAGGAACAAGCACACGTTTTCTGAAAGGCCAGAAAACACACTTGGGGTACCTCCTCTGTTTCACCCTGCACTCATCATTTTTCCAAGTTACTGAAAGACAGTGGTTCCAGCTGAAAGAGTGAAGTTTCTTAATAGGTATTTCAAAGTTCTAGCCTATTAGTTCAAAATCTAGATAACCTAGAGATCAATTTCTACTTTGTGCTTTCTTTCTTATTAGTCACGTATTTCCAAACCTCTGTATGTCTAAATTCTTTATTGTATAATGGATCCACCAATATTGAAGTTGATATTATTTCCCCTCAGAGAAAGTAGTGACTTGTGTCGGGTAGATAGGGTGAGAGTTTCTTCACCTCATCCAGTGAGTAATAAGCAGAACAGTATTTGAAGTTAGGATACAGCTTTCATTAGATGTGGTCAAGGTCTGACTTCAAATGCCTCAGGGCATGATTAATGCTATGTTTAGGGAAGCCTCATTTCTCTAATGAGAGATCTTATCTGCAGAGGAAGGAGAAAAAGGCAGAGGAATTCCAATCCCTCACTCCAGCTGAGGTTAGGGAGATGTGTAAAATGTGGCAAACTGCAAAATTTTGTAGAAAAGTAACATCTAAATAAAGTGGTAGCAGTACAAGTAGTGAGTCTGAAAACAATCCAATGTCATATTTCTACAAAATCCTCAAAAGGCAGCAAAAGCAATTGTCATTGGATAGGTTTCTTGTTAAAGTTGCACGAAAAGAAAAAGATTCCATTGATAGATCAATAGAAGAAAAAGATTCCCTCAATAGATAGCAGTGATTCCATTAGTGATAGGGAAAGCCATTCTACATAAGAACCCTCCTCTCTTTTTTCCTCACACCAGTGATGAAGGTTTTCAAAGGTAAGTCTACATTAACTTATTTTTCTTTATTATTTTGCATTATATTACAGTATTGTTATCTCTTTTATATGAAAATTTTGGGGTTGTGGAACAATTTATCTGAGTTTGCATTATTTCTTATTGGGAAATTTGCCTTCATATACAAGTGCTTTGGATTACAAGCATGTTACTGGAATGAATTATCCTCATAAACCAAGGTTTTACTCTTTATTTAGCCTTAGACAGGGACCGCAGATTCAGGGACCCAATACTGGAATTAACACTGGGAAATGTGAAGTAAATGGAAATAATTTAGATAAATATGAACCCACACTTTATATTTCTTATCAGGTATGCACTGCACTAATGACTGTCAATCACTGTTCTTTCCCTTGAAGTATCTATTTATTTCCAGGCACTACAACAACAGTTTATGTATCAAACTGACAGAATGTTTAGCTTCTCTGTACTCTGAAACTGACAACCAGCAACTATGACCCTGAAGTCCATGAGGATTAACTAAAGGGATATAGATAGTATGTAAAGACTTGTGGGGTTTATTATATGTGTCTTTGTGTACTTGAAGAACAGTCATGTGGAGGAAGATCACACTGAAATAGAATTGAGCCAATAAAAGGAAATTATAAGAAGGCAAATTTCAGTTAAGCATTAAAATTTGTCTAATAAAGCCTTTGAAATGGACAGGCTTACTTTAAAGGTGGTGAGGTCCCTGTTATTACATGTGATAAGCAGAGGTAGGAAACCTCTGAACGTGATTGTTGATGATGTTCTTAAGTGGCATCCTAACTTGTTGGAAACTATGTTAGTGTGATTACATGTAAACAACTTGTTCTTATAAAAGTTTATGATATGGCAGGAGTTGTTACAAGGTGGGCTTCTGAAATAAAATTTAAAGTTATAAGTACATCTTACAGCAAGAACAGATTCTAATTCCTTCAAAAGAAACAGACATTTCAGAACTCGTAGGCCCTTTCAAAAAACATCCTGTGACCAAAACTGTTGCAGTTTCAGCAGAACTGTAAAGGTTAATTTACCTTTCTGCTAGAAGGCAGCACTGAGTTTATAGCATATTCTGAAATTTCTTGGATGCACCTCCAACATTCTGAGATGACAGATTTATGGGTTATATTCAAATTCCTGCTGTTTGAGCACGTACCATTTTGTTTCTTCTTAAAGACAAGGATTTGTCTCCATGCAGATACTCTTAGACTTAAACTGAGCATCCTTAAACTTGCAGAATCAACCTAACATATTCAGAAAAACTAATGACCAAATAAACAATAGCCCAGGTTTCCTTCAGTAATTGATGGATAAACAGATCTCAGACACTTGAATTTATCTGTGTGTTTTTGTTACAGTGAGGAAAATTAAGAAATAGGATTTTAAATCCTATCTTTTTTCACTTCTTTGACATGAGTATATTTAGAAAAAAAACTGACAATGTGTAGTGCTACTTTTTATCTAAGCAAGACTATTTTAATAAAGCCTATCAGCTAATTTGCTTTATGTACATATATTTATGTTACATACACACAGAATTATATATATGCTCATATATAAAATATATAATATACATTATGATATATATGTGACTTATTTCTTAGGGAATAAATTATCAGAGTATGGCTGGAAACCATGTGAACTGGACACTGATAAATAATCTCAAGATGCAATGCTTGGAAATGGTACAGACTTCAGGAGAGAGAACTGTGACTGAGTACAATCAGACCTGATAAAAGATGCAAAGTACTAGCTCACATTTACCCAGAATATTTGCATTAATTTTATTATCCATTTTATGTTTAAATATACAAAATGTGTTTATAAGCAGAAAATTCAGAACATGTCTGTTTAGTGAGTATATTTAAGATTTTACTTCACAGGAAGAAAAGAAATGAGTCTTAGTGTGACCTAGTTTTATGGCTGAGTGAGTTCAAGAACAGTATAAGCCTTATGGGATAGGAAATCCATAGTCACATTAATATGGTTATTTTTTATGGGAAAACACTACAATTTGATGAGGATAGAGGAATCTGACAAAATGATTCTGAAATTAAGTTGAAATGGCCAAAAAGTAGCTAAGGGACTCTGAAGCAAGACAAGCTGGAAGGGATATATCAAGATTTATTATAAGGCTTCAGTCATTGAAAGTCTAGTATTGGCATAGGAATAAACAGAAAACAATGGGACCAAATAAATACCTCAGAAGGAGACCCTCACACATGGAAATTTAAATATGACAGCTTAGCACTGCACACCAGTAAAGAAATGATGAACTATTTTTAATAAAGAACAGGAAAAAATTAAATTGTAAAAAACATTAAAGAAACAATATAAGAAATAAACCTATAAAATAATCAATTTTAAAGACCTTTACAACTTTTTGAAAAAAGCATAGGAAAATATCTATGAACCTGGGAATAGAGACGAATTTGTTAAATAAGACAGTGCCTTCCAGAAAGATGATGAAAATGAAAGAAATGAAAAACTATAATTCACTAAAAGCTGTCATAAAGTAGAAAGACAAGTCAGAAGTTGCTTCAGTGCTACCTCAGAAAAGAGAAAGATATAGGGAAGTATGGGGTTACTTAAAGGAAAGGTGCTTGATTCTTTAAAAGACCTGGATGTAGAGCAAAAGGTAGACGACAAGAAAACCTTTTAAAGAACATAAACTAAATCATTAATTGCACATTTTCACTTTTTTGTTATGAAATTCTTCCAGAGTCATTTAACTTCATAGTATATTTTTGGTTAAATATGATATGTCTTAAACCTACCTATACCAAACGTCTAGATAACAAACTTTTAGTTACTATCTACATTATAAAGAAGCATCTTCATAAAATGTTCATAAATTGCTTCCTTCAAGCTTAAGACATTTCATCTATCAGTTCTCTCTTTCTTCAGTCACACAGCCTCTGCATCTGTCTGCTTCTGGTTTGCATCGCTTGTATTGATCTTGTTGGTTTTCTTATGCAGGTTTTCTGAAGAACATGGTTCCCATAGCTGGACTTTTCCTACCAGGCCGCATAACATAAGTGGCACATACTAACACTGAAGTAGTTAATAGTCTACCGTGGTTTTGTAAGATAAAATTATATTTTATATTCATATTGTATCATCATACAGTAACACACTCAGCTGGAAAAGATATTACAGATTATCTTACCCTTAATTTGATAATCTTTTATAATCATGTAATACAATTAGTTATAATTTGTAATATGCTTCCTCAATGGTTCATTTGATCTTTAGGGGTAGATCAAATTATTCTCATTTATAGATCCAAAATAAGTTTTAAAAAAAGGCTTCTGTGATAGTTCTGAGGTCATGGATCTACTTGAACTTGAACCTAGAAATTTGTATTCTCAAACCACTGGCTATCTCAGTGACACTCCCTCCACCAAACTTTGTCATTTTCATGATACTTTGGGGATGAATTTTTATTATCTATATATTAAACATTAATGGCAAAGGAAAGTCTGTTTTCATTATTCAATTTATTTTTATCAGATACATAGAAACTTGAAAATTATACATACTAAACATGTACCATGTTAATGCTTCTCTACATGTATGCACTGTTCAAATCAGGTTAAACCATCAGGTTAAATTCTATCCTCTCAAACATTTATCACTTCTCTGTGGTAAAAATATTCAAACTCTTTCCTTCTAGCTTTTTGAAATATACAGTCCACTACTGTCATCTATGGTCAAGCTACTGTGCAATAACAAACCAGAACTGCTTAGTCTTTGTAATCAACTAATCTTTCCCATCCCTGCCACTCCAATACTCTCCCCAGGCAAAGTCAATTTACTCGTGGTTTCTTTCAAACCCACTTTCAATGTACAGTTTTCATTTTTTATATGTATTCTTATAGCTTTTAGCAAGGAAACAATAGCAAAATCCTCACTTAAAATTGATCAACACTAATATACTTCCACCAATATTCCTAAGACAGGAAAACTTACCTACAAGGGCAGACTTGACAAAAACCGCCAGACTTTTTTTCTTTTTCTTTTGCTATTAGCTTCCTTACCTCCAAAAAGCTGGAAAGCTTTTCTGCAGCTTGGTAGGGGCCATTTTGCACAGCTGGATTTCTGAAAGCTTTGTTTTATTTTCAAATATTCTTTAGTGAAGAATGTTTTCGTGGCATTGTTCAGTTCTAGAATAAAGCAAAGGAAAATGGTTTATTATTTACAGTTTTAGGATTCAACCTTTTTCCTTTATTAGTAATATTTGCAGTAGGCGCATAGACATAACACAACTTAATGCCTTTTTAACCCTTTCCCCTTCCCCATCCACTTCCCTGCATCTCTAACTTCCATTTCCGCATTTTCATTCTGATTTCCAGTTCATGTTTATGACCTATGTTTACACTCCTTGTAGGTATTTGGTGCATGTACATGACACATTTTAAATCTTTTTACTTCCGCTTTCCTTCTCCTCTTGCCCTCATACTCAAGTCTCCTTGACCCCTTCTCATTTGTAAAAGATCTGTCTCCTGTTTCTTTTTATCTATCCTTTATTTTACTCTTTATTTGTACTTTGTCTTAATTGAGTAATAATATATGGTATTTAAGTTTGTGTGATTTATTTCACTTAACTATATCTTTCAGGTGTATCCATTTTTCTACAAATATCTTGAATTCATCCTACTTTATAGCTGAGTAGGATTATGTATAGACACCACACTTTCTTTACCTATTTGTCTGTTGATAGGCATACAGGTTGCTTCCAGGATTTATCAATTATGAATTGTTCTGCTATAAACATTGGTATATACATGTTGCAGTAATGTGATGTCTTTAGCTCTTTTGGAAAGATATCTAAATGGGTACTGCTGAGTCAAACAGGATTTCTAATTTTAGTTCTTTGAAAAATCTCCATATTGATTTCCATAATGGTGGTACTACTTTACATTCCCACCAACAATGTAGGAGGGTTTTCTCACTGCAGCCACACCATCATCTGTTATTATTTGATTTCTTGATGATTGCCATAGTTTCTGGTTTGAGATGGAATATCAGTGTTGTTTTAATTTGCATTTCTCTAATGTCCAGAGATGTTGAACATTTTTCATACTTATTGCCATTTGTACTTCTCAGAAGTATCTATTAATTTTACTTGCCCATTCCTTTGATTGGGTTTGTTTTTTTTTTTTTAAATCAAGAACAAAACCACATGATCATACAATAGACACAGAAGAAGCTTTTGACAAAATGCAACATGCTTCATGAGAAAAAACAAAGTAAGTATAGAAGGACCTCACCTGCAACTGATAAAACCTATTTATGACAAACCAATGACCAACATCACATTAAACTGGGAAAAACTGAAAGCTTTCCTTCTAAAATCAGGAATGAGACAAGGATGCCTACTGTCACCACTTGTATTCAACATAGCAATTAAAACATTACCCAGAATGATCAGGCAAGAGAAAGAAATAAAAGGGATGAGTATAGGGAAGAAAGAAGTCAAATTATCATTATCTGCAGATGACATGACATTGTACATAGAAGACCCAAAGAATGCCAACAAAAAATTCTGAGAATTAATAACCAATTTCATCAATGCACCAGGATACAAAAATTAACACACAAAACTTAATAGCATTCATTTATATCAATAGTGAATACAATGAGAAAGAAATTAAGAACACTTTATTCACAATAGCATTTGACATTGAGACTCACTGTTTACAGCAATGAAAACCATAAACTGTCTCAAAGCTATTTTCAGTCTTTCAGGGACAATGCTTACTCTGCAGTTTTGCAAGAAGGACAAGAAATTCATATTTTCAAGTGATTATAACACACTGTGACATTCATTTTATACCTATGCAAGGCACTCAGAAAGATAGACGTTTTGACTGAGAGAATTATGTTTATCTTGTGCTTACTGTTGTCCTTTTGTGGTTTTAGAGCACTGAAAAAAATCATTTCAGCAAATGTTTCCTTACTCAAAAATAATTGGTCTGTTCACTAGTAAACGGCTGGAAGACCAAAAGAAATTATCAAACTACTAAGCCCAATTTGATGACAACATTTCCAGAGCTCTTGCTACAATACAGAAAAATGCTACATATTTTATACAGTTATTCTTTTATTGGTGCAATTACACTTCAGAATTTTTGGAAAATATGGATAGGGTATATGAGTGGGTTCTCAAAAGGTGATCACTGCATCTATCATTGGCTTCACAGAACCCCTGATTTTCTATTCTTCCTGAGAAGAAATAGGACTTCATTCTCCTTTACAACTGTCATGCTCATTGGTGCTATTTAGTTTGAATTATTTTTCAGTGGTCAAAATAGCATGCGTCAATGGTTTAAAATATCAAGTGGTATAATAAGAGTTTAAAAGTGGCATGTGTCTGTAGTCTCAGCAACTCAGGAGGTGCAGGCAGATGGATTACTTGAGATCAAGGATTACAGGTTAGTCCAGGCAACACAGCAACACCTATCTCCCTTCACTCCTAGTTTGCAAAGACTATTTTTAAGTGTTTTCAGACTTTTATTCTTCTGGAGACTAATCTCTCTATGTGTAAATCAGTGTTTCAAAAATTGATTTGCAAACCTCCAGTAATATGTAAAATGAACTTGGGAAAATTAAATGAATATATTTATAATTTTCATGGCTACTTATTTATTTTAAAGTATATTGGAAGAAAGAAATAAGCTACAATATTGAATCAACAAATTTAGAAATATCGGGGCTGGGGATTTAGCTCAGCGGCAAAAAGCGCCTGCCTGGCAAGTGCAAGGTCGTGAGTTCGGTTCCCGGTACCGGAGAAAAACCAAAAAAAAAAAAAAAAAACAAATTTAGAAATATTTTAGCTAAGGAGGAGGCTAAAATAAGTACTTAATAAAAAAGTATCAATATAAAAGATATCAATATAAAAAATTCTTAAGTTAAAAAATTCACATAGTATGTAGATAGAATAAAATGTGTAAAGATAATATCAAAATGACAGAAATTTCAAAAATACAATTTCAAAAATGTTGTAAATATTGTGCTTATTTTGGTATTTTTCTTACAATAAAAATAATATTTATTTCCACATATGAAAGGTTGGGAATGACTAAAATACATGACATAACTTGCCTCCTAGTAAAGAATAAGTGTAGCTTTCAGGAGCTTTTGTCTATTAGTCATGCTTCTATCTCTTGTTCTTTCATTTCTCTATATTATCCTTGTGCCTTTTAAATTTTCTCTCATTAATTACTTCTTTTTAGGGCAGGGTACTGGTTTTGGTACTTTGAAATCCTCTGGCCATGGGGATGGGGCATGAGTCATTTAGCTTGTAACATTTTGGGTGTCGCTGGGCGACTTACCACTGCTCCCTGACCATGAATGTATCCGGTGGTTGTCTCTCACTCAGTCACTGGGGGAGTTTAACACTCAGAGCCCTGAGATGAAGCTAAGCCTTGCCTGCTCTGAGCCCTGAGTTTAACTGGCCCCTAAAATGGCATCTGATCCAGCACTCTCTCCAGGGGATTTGGCTGACTCTTGGACTGGAGTCACTCACCACCTGTTGTAGTTCCACTGTTCTGTTCCACTGGGGCACTTCTCCCTGAAGGCCTCTGTAACTGCTTTCAATATGTCTCTGTAGATTCAACCTTCCTTTCTCAGAAGCCAGGAGCCAGGAACCAGGGAGAAAGTACAGACTGCCTCTTCCTTTTTCTGCATTGTGGTCTGTCTCTTCAATTTCTCTGTAGGGTAGGCTCCAGTTTCTCCATCAGATTCTTCCTGAGTCTAGGGATCTACCTCCCTCCTTTTCTTCCCAAGTTGTTATGTTTTAGTGTCTGGGCTCCAAATCTCAGAGGTTTATTTGTTGCAGCTTATCACTCCACCACCTTCCCTGAGTCCTCTTACAGATATTTTCTTTTTAAAGTATAGATTTCAAGTGGTTGGAGTCCAAAGCTGAGTATCCAATGTACATTCCAGGGTCTAAGGAATCAGCTGAAAACACCAGATGGAGGTGCCTACTGGCCTGGGGTACCCGTATAGACCTAGGTGTGCCTGGGATTGATGTGGGAGATTCTCATGGGCCCAGACAGTGTGGGCATCAGGCAAAACAGACACACTTTAACTAGTGCTGCAAGCCAGGAGGAGAACTGGCCTAATGAGCCAGGCCAATTCTGTACCCAGGACTGTTGCTAGATGCAAGATAGAGACTCTAGTGCAGCCCAGGACTGGTGCTGGATGTCAGACAGAGTCTCCGGCGGGTCTATGTGTGGTGGCAAGGCAGTAGGCATTAGGCTGGTTCTTCACTTGATCACAACATGTCTGCTGGCAAATATCCACGTTAAGTAAGTTCTTATTCAAGCGCAAAGGGAAAAATGGCTTTTCCACTGCATGCCTTAAAAGACAAACTTTCTTCTCATCTTACTCTCTAGAACTCAACCACATACCCATTTGTGAAGCAATCACTGGAAAAAGGACAGTTTACCAGAGAGAAGAGGGGACCCAGAAACACCTGGTCTACGTTGGCATGGTAAAATATTCAGGGTTATGTTAGAAAGGAAGAATAAGGTTACAGATGCTAATGAGCAAGCACTAGTGTCCACTATACATTTGATTTTTTTGTCTATGAACTTCCAACAGTACATCCTGATATCTATTATTAAAAAGAAGACATTAGTGCCTCGACCGTTTCTTCTACCTTTCTTATTTCACTTCAACTTATAACAGTGTTAATTACTATATCAAGATAACAACTAGCGCTCTTAAGAAATTTAAGCAAGAGCACATAACTAGTGAATGTTATAGTTCAGGTTTAAAGTCATTATTTTTCTATAGACCACTGTATGGAATAAATCTGGGATCATTTTTATTGTATTTCTACCCACTAAGCTACTATAATAATGTTACAATAGACCTTTTTTTCATTGTACAAATATCTTTGGTTCTTAGAAAGAAAAGACAGTTTCCCACTTTAACCTTTGACAAGCCCTGGTTTGCATACAATTGGAACGGTGACACTAGGTAGTAGAGATGGTTAACTCATTCAATAAATAACTTTCAATGTTTAGAAAGTGAATTGTAGCAAAAGAATCTAAGATTGTAAAACGAAGTTTCCCCAAAACAGCAGAAGTCAGAAGAGGGAGAAAAAAAAAACCCTCATGTACAATATCAGGAATAAAACAATATAGGCATAAACCTAACAATAAATGTGTAGTGCAATTATGAAGGAAATTATGGAACTTTACTGAGAGACAATACACTATAACTAATCACTCAATATTATAAAAATATCCATTAAAATAGTAATTATCCTCAAATTAACTTAAGTTTAATTTATTTGTGAGTTATTAAAACAAAACTGCTAACAAAATTATAAATGAAGAAATAATATAGGACAAGATAGAAAGATGAATAAAAAGAACATTTGCCAAGAAATATACACATTTTAATAATTATTATTATTGCTTTTTAAAGGAAGACAATTTGGTTGGCATAGAAAGAACAGACTTTTAAATGTATGTTGTTGGGAAACAGGCCAAGGAATGGAGAAAAGTACTTTATTCTTAAGCTAACCATGTACCACAACAAATAGACTGGAGTTCAATGGGGGCAAATGTGGACAATATATAACATAAATATGAGGAAAGAGAATATACAATTCTACAGTAGGTGAGACCTTTTAATACTTTGCAATTAATGAGAAAATCACTATGGAAACCTTATAAAAAATAGAAGTTCTGGACATTTATAAAATATCCTACATAAAATTAAGGTACAAAAGCCAGCAAGGGAACATTGTTTTCCACATATGAGAAGAGTTGACACTAAATATAAAAACCTTCTCATGGTCAGGGACTTAAACAAGGAAAATTAGGATGGCCAACATTGTGGAGAAAACAAGCCCTCATATATCACTGCTTACAATAATTGACAAGTGCTATTTTGCAGTACATACAGGGTTGACCAAAAACAACAGTGTGTGTTGACTTTTAAAAAAAATGTACTCCAGTAAAAGGGGTATTGCCATCAACTCCCTTCAAAATAGATCCCATCCCTTTGAACATATTTACCCTATTGCTCTTGCCACTTTCTGAAAAAATTCTGGAAGGACCTTTTTGTATTGTTAGGAGGTATAACAAAAAATACAGTTAATGCTGATGCTAAGTGCTGTCCAACAGAATGGGAAAAAATTATAGCGCATTCTCATCCACTTTATTCACTGTTTTCTGGAACCACGTGACTTCTGGTTCTTCCCCAAATCAGAATGACCATGAAAGGGAAACATTTCAATTCATTCAGGACACCGAGGCAGCTGTGGCAGCACAACTACAGACATTCACAAAAAAAGGATTTCCGGAACAGCTTCAGAAAGAGGTGAGAACAGTGTGACAAATAGTCAAAGCAAGATGGAATATTTTGAGGGAAATTAATGGCAATATGACTTCTAATGTAGTTTTAAAAAATATTCACTGAAGTTTGTGATCACACCTTGTATATATCCTTAAAAATACATGGACTAACTACCATTCTACTTCTGGAAATTAATCCAAGGAAGTACTATGATTACAGTCAAATATTTATCCACATATATCAGTAAATAAATTTATGTTAACTAAATATCACATAAAAGTAGATTGGTTAAATAATACATGATATAATCGCAAGAACTTTAAGGTAAATGAAGTAAATTAAAGAGAAAATGTATAGTATCAGATTTTTTTGGTAACAATAAAAGTTTAACATGTATATAAAATGTTCTGGAAGGAAACTCATTAAATGTTTATTTAAATAATAGAAACATGGGTGATTTTAAACTTCTTATTCATTATATAATTTTAAAAGTTATTTTTATAAGAAAATTGTCTTATTTTAGCTAATAGCAATGTTACTTTTCCTAATTTATATTTGGATATTTCTTCAGCTTTTATCTAAGAATACAATGAGAAACACTGTCAGAAAACCTGATATTGCATTTGACCTGAGGATGTTTTTGAGGACACTGTACTGTATATTCCGTCTCTCAATATCCTTAAGGGAGAAATCACATAAAACATTCTGTTAAGAAGTGCCTGAAAATCCTGTGCTTATCTTGAGGAACTGGTATACTTCTTTCAATGGATCATGAAAATCATTTAATTGTATAGTTACTTTTATTTTGGCTTAGGTAGCATTGAACACAAATTTTATCTAATTGTAGTTATATGTAGGTCAACATAGTTTATGTATCTATCCACCTCACCTCACCTGGTCTTTATATTCCATTCCAATTTATAATTCCCTTGTCTTGCTATTTTACTTAACATATTTTGAAAATAATCTCAAATCCTTTTGAAGTAGGATATTAATAATTAAGTAGAATATTGCCATTATTGTATCAGTATATTGTGACAATATGTACCAAAATATATTCTCCATTGAAAGGACTATAAATATTTTCAGTATGATTTATTTTAGAAGTACCACTTTGAAAATAAAGAAAACTATAAAATTACTGTTTTGATAAATAAACCAGGAGAGACTTTAGTCAGTACTAAACTCAAAGGAAAAGAAATATCATAGTCCCTTGCAGTGTTACATGAGATTTTAGAAGACAGAGACACTATGTGTGCATACCACTAGTTGCTTCCAAGTATATGTAGCAATTCCTCACAATGAACGTATTTATTATGTATTGTAAACATATACAAATAAAACCAGGACTAAAATATTTAATTAGAAAAAAGTAAAAACCACTGTAGAAATACAACAACAAAACACCAAGACTTCAATAAATGTTTTCTTTTATAGCTGGTAAGACAACACTGAGAAGTGTCCCTGGTGTTCTTCTTTCATTCATCCTAAAGCACCTTGCTAGAGATCTGGTATTACAAAAAAATTCATTTTTTCCCCCTTAACATTTTATTGACAGGCCAATGAAGAGGAGTTTCCAGTTATTTTCTGCCCTTTCGTGGAAGTGCTTCATCTCCTGTCTCCACCCCTTACTTGTTCTTCCCCTCAAAGGAGTAACTGATAACCTGGTAAGACTGGGCCTGTTGTCCTGCCCACACTCCTCAACTGAGTAGAGTCACTGTATTTGGCACATTATTTTGTCTCTGGATCTGCTAAAGCTCAGTGAAGTGATTTGTTCCGAAGTCTTCAATGACTAGGCAGATCAGAGAAGGTACTTTTACTTTCTTTTGCTTGTTTTATTATTGAACGTGTAACGCAGAGGCTTGCAAGCTTTTATGCACATTGTTGCATAAGGAACCTACAGCTTATCCTTTACTTATCTGATTCTCCTATGCATGTGGGTCCTTGGATTTCTTTCAACAAAGAAAAATGCATCATTTATTCTTTTCAGTTTTACTATTAGTGAAGTGCATTGGCTTCCCTGTGTGTGGGGTAAGAATATACAGACAGAAAAATTTTCTCCTAATATTTAACACATAGTAGTGGACTCCATCATTTTACTATATTTCTCTATGTTTTATATTCCTTAGTTTTTATTATCATTAATATGCTCAAAATATTGGTTAAATTCCATTTTCACAAGAAAATTAAGTAAACAAATCCCTGCTTCAATGTTAATTTTTTTCTTATTAAAGAAGGAAGCCTTCAATAACATTAAAAAAGTTGAGAAGATTTGAAGTTTGGGTGAAAGGCTGAATATTACCCTCAGATATTTATGGATTTATTCCCTATGACTCCAGAAGAAATAAAAAAGGGGATATAGAATGAGAAGTAGCGGAAGGCAGACATGAGAAATAATCAACAATGTTGCTTCAAATGAAATTTCCTTGACAATGGGGATGTCCATGTAAAGACTGAACAAAAACTACCTTGGATGTTTCAAAAAGGATCTCCATGTAGAGTTATGGAAATAGAGATAAAGATTTACTCTCACCTCTGAATTTAACACAATTCTGAGTTGCGTTAGCACTGCTTTCTAAACTGGAGCATAACCAATTACACTTCATATGATTTTCAGTAATTTTTGCATAATCATTTGTAAAATACCTTTAGATCTAAAATACCTTTAGCTCTAATTCAAAGTGATATAATGAAATATTCAGAAAAACAAGACAATCATCTTAATGAAAAGGAAGTTACCTGTCTGGAAAAAGACTCTAGAAATAATTGTCCGACACAGTGGGCAGGGAGTATTTGCAGGATTGTCTTTGGCCAGGGTCCGTAAGCAGGGCTCACAGAAGATGTGGTGACAAGGGTAACACATGTAAGGGTTGAAATAAACATCCAGACACACTGCACATATGTAGCTATCCTTTTCCTCTGCATAGTCATTGTCATCATCTGTACTCATCTCATCATTCAAAGTCTGTAAAAAAGAAGAAAAAGTTTTTCTTAGTATAATATTGGTCTCCTTGAGAACTGTACATTTTGGAACAATGAAAATATTTGAGAAACATACGTTTCTGTGACATATTCAAAGTGATATATTTCTACTTTTCAATGTGAGAAGAAACTGAAAAAAATATATGAAAACCCAGAAGTTTCATTATTTTCTAGTATTTTTACATGTTAAATGGTAAAATATAGCCAAGTGCATTAAGTATTTATTTTAACCAGCACTTATTAAGTGTTATATGTACCAGTCCCAGGATTACTTAGTCTTCACTCATTCCAAACCTATAAGGCAAACAAGCTGATTGTCACAGGTTGCACAGTTAGAATGTGTATCTGTCCATAATGAACAAGTGACAGTAGCAGAATGTTCTACTGCCTCTTTATACTGTGCATGAGACATTTCCTTTTCTATGCTTTGTCCCCTGCTACATCTCAAAGTCAAGATCTGGCCAAAGCCAAGGAAATATCAAGAGGTAAACAGGGAAAGCAACTTGAGGATAATGATGAGATTAGCTACATAGCTAGGAAATATGAGCTCCTTCCTCCTCCCAAACAGAATGGTTAAGAAACTGGCAGCTCAGGTCAGTTACACAAGGTATAGGAGCAGACATTTTTTTCTTAACCTACAATTTTCACATTTGTGAAATTATAAGGATTATATGAGGCAATCCACTTAAAGCATTTGTCACAATGTCTGGCACAGAAAATATTTTATAAATGTTAACCACAGCCATCCTCCTTCCCCTCTTTTCCATCTCTTCTACCCCTTGCCGTAGGGTGTGTAGTTTTTAACCAAAGATGTGAGGAACATTTTCTTCAAACACAGAATAGGAGTCTACATGTTATATTTCTTTTTCTTTTAATTTCAACGAGATCAACTATTAATATTTGGGCCTTGGGTTTAAGAAATAGCTGTAAGTTGCATGAAATATAAAACTTATCTAAATGAGGCAAAGAACCTTGAGAATACAGAAAAGCTTTTTGCTATGATTTGAATGTTTGTCTCCTCCAAATTTCATGTTAAAACCTAAATCCTCAAGATGAGGCTTTTAAGAGATAAGTCATAAGGGCAGAACCCTTATGAATGGGAATTTTGACCTATATAAGGATAAAGAGAAAAGAATCCATCCCTTTTTATCTTATATTCTTCTGCCACATGAGGAGGCAATGTTTGTACCCTCCAAGGAAGTAATGCTCAAGATGCCATCCTGGAGCAGAGACTGGGCCCTATCAAGATACTGAGCTTGATGGGGCCTTGATTTTAGGCATTCAAGTCTCCCAAAATGTGAGAAATAAATTTCTTATAAATTACCTCTCACAAATTACTTGCTCTTATAATTGTAAAGTATTACTTGGTGCATTTGTGCTGCTGTAACATGACTAGATAAACTACTATTTGATTTATTGAGATGGTTTTGCTTTTCCCTCAGCCATCTTCTTTCTGCTACCCATGGGGAGTTTCTCTTTAATAAGGATATGCAAGGTATGATTAAGAACACAGTGCATGTTTAAATTCACAAAAGATTTTATTACAGTAAAAGACACATTATCATTAGCCTCCCTCAAAACACTCCCTCTCACTTCAAAGACAATAATCCTACCACTTCTGCCACTCTGTGAAGCAGTTTGGAAGTACTTTTTTGTGAATGTCTTCAGATTCACTGTTATGGACACCTTGATATCCTGACTGGATTCAAAATGTCCACCTTTTATGGACGTTTTGACTTTGGAAAAGAGACAGAATTACACAGGGCCAGATCCTGTGAATAAGGTGGAGGAGGACACACTGTAATATCTTTGCAGCCTAGCTTTCTAGGCTGCAAATACCTGTAAACAGTATTCACTGAATTTTTTATCACAACTCTTGAAGACACTGACAAGAAAGAGCCTCCAGAACTGCTTCAGAAAGTAGCAGGATCAGGGTTGGGGATTTAGCTCAGCGGCAAAAGCGCCTGCCTGGCAAGCGCAAGGTCGTGAGTTCGGTTCCCGGTACCGGAGAAAAACCAAAAAAAAAAAAAAAAGAAAGTGGTAGAGATTAACTGCAACATGCTTTTTACTGTAATAATTTTTTTAAATGTAAAAATTCACTGAATATCTTGATCATATCCCATAGTTGTATCTTTAGCTAATTTATTTCTTTTTTTTTTTTTGGTTTTTCTCCGGTACCGGGAACCGAACTCACGACCTTGCGCTTGCCAGGCAGGCGTTTTTGCCGCTGAGCTAAATCCCCAGCCCCTAGCTAATTTATTTCTAAGTGGACTGTATGATTTTTCTTATGCACATATAGACATTTTTACTTAATTTAATTATTTGTTGTTATTGGTTAGATGTTACTGGGTAGATATTTTTCCTTTTTTTTTTTTCAAACGTCCTCAGGTTTTTGAGGAAATAAAATTTTCAATTTTTTTAACTGTATTATTTTTAGTACATATTTGTCTTACATAATGATCACATTAATCATAAGGAATTTGTCTCTATACATAATATATCTTAACTTTTTTCTTTTCCCCCATTTTGCTCCTCACTTTTTAAAAGTCCTCTTCCCCTCCCCATTTACAAAAGCTTTGTTTCCATTTTTTCCTTTCATTCTCTTTTTTTCCCTTTTCCTCCTCTTCTCTTTCCCCTCCCTTCTCCCTTGGTTCCCTTCCCACTGGAACATTTTTTCCTAATTCCTGATATCTATCATCCATTTTGGTCCTTATTTATGCTTTCAGTTTCTCACATAACAGAAACAACATGCTACATAACATGAGTGATTTATTTCACTTAAAATATGGTATCAAGGTGCACCCATTCATCTAAAAATGTCTCAAATTTATCCTTCTTTCAGGAGTAGTAGTTTTCCATTCTATGTAAAAACCATGGCTTCTTTATCCATTCATTCACTAATGGGCATCTGGCTGTTTCTAAGATTTAGTTATTACAGATTGTGCTGCTTTAAAGATGAGAATGCATCTATCACTGTAGTATGATGCTTTTAACTTTTGGGGGAAGCTACCAAGGAGGGGAACAGCTGGGTCAAATGGAACTTCTAGTTTTAGTTTTCTGAGGAATCCCCATACTGATTGCCATGTTGGTTGTACCAATTTCCATTTCTACCACCAGGGCAGAAGGCTCCCCTTTTCCCCACAGCCTTGCCAGCAATTTTTATTCGTACATTTCTTGATAACAGCCCTTCTGGAACAGAACAGAAGATGCAGAAAGAACTCCAAGCACACTCAGCTACCTTATCTTTGACAAAGGGGCCAAACACCTTCACTGAAAGAAAGATAGCCTCTTTAACAAATGGCACTGGAAAAACTGGCTTTCTATGTGCTGAAGATTAAACCTAGATGCCTATCTCTCACCATGAACTAAAGTAAAACTGAAATGGATCAAAGATTTAAATATTAAAACAGAAGCAGTCTGCTGGAAGATAAAACAGGTAAAACTTTTAAAGACATAGGTATAGGCAAAGACTTCATAAAACTCTGATAACACAGGAAATATTAAAAAGAACCAGTAATTGGGATCTCATATTGAAAAGCTTTTGCATAGCAAAAGAAACTACCAACAGAGTGAAGAGACAATCCACAGAATGAGAAAACATTTTTGCCAGCTGTTCCTCAAAGGACTAATATTTAGAACATATAAAGAACTAAAAAAAAAAAAAAAATCAGATCCCCCAAATTTAAAGACCCAATCCAAAAACGGGCATCTTGAAATGAATACACACTTCTCAGATGAAGAAGTACAAACAAGAAATAAATAAATGAAAAACTGTTCAACATCACTGGCCATTTGAGAGCTGCAAATTAAAACAACACTGAAATTCAATCTTACTCCATAAAGTTCTTAATTTTGAAGTGGTTTATTTAATTATACTTTTCCTTCATAGTTATTGTTTTTTTGTTTTAATTTGAGAAGTCTTATCCTTTCCTAGAGTTTTAAAGATAGCATGATTTTGCATTTCATAACTTTTCATAATCCTATAAAATACTAGAAGTAAACTTTCATGTACAGTGTATTTTATAAACTTCATTTTTTCCTTTTTTGTAACGTTGGAAATTAAACTTGGCCTCATTAAGGCAAGTGCTTTAATAATTAGCTACAATTCCAGCCCCACATTCTTTTTAATGCAGTTATTAATTGTCAAGCCTATACTGTAAGCCTTCCCTTTCCTGTACTGCTGTATAGTACTACTTTATCATTAATTAAGAGGCCATATATGCATGAGTCTGCTTTGGGGATTTTGTCCTGTTTCATTAGTTTATTGTCTTTCATATACCATAATCATATTCTCTTGAGCTCTGTAGTGAGCCTCAGCATTTAGTAGAGAAAGTCCTTTCATCTTGTTGTTACTTTTCAAATATGTCCTGGCCATTCCTGTCCTTTCTCATGACTACATAAAATTTAGAATTACCTTGTCACTTTTATTAAAAAAATTGACATTTTCATTGGATTTATATTGAGCCTACTGATAAATTTAGGAAGAGTAATCTATATAATACAAAGTTTTAGAACGCCCAAGACTAGTTTTTTCCTCCTTTATTAAAAAATAAATAAAGATAACTTGGTAACATTTTACCTCTATTCGAGTCAATACTTTTTTCCAATTTTACTAATTATTTTCTCAACTAGCCTGTTCTTATTAGTATAGACGACATAAATATTCTAGTATCTTTCACACCAAAATAAATATATTTTAAAAAAAAACTGTTCAGTTCATGCAATTTTCTTCCACTCTGTTTCACAGCAAAGCTTTCTGCTTCTTTGCTTCCTACCCATTCTTCAACCCACTCTATGTCGTTTCTTGGCCTTTTGGCTAAGATCAAATGCAACCCACTCTAACCTTTCTGTTCTTAATTTTCTGCCCACACTGCTCTTACCCACATCACTAACAACCTCTGGCATACCAAGCCCAGGAGACTTTCCTGATGTATACCCCTCAGTCTCTCGGCAGTATTTTTTACTAGACCAAGGCTTCTTTCT